CTGAAGTGCACCCCAACTGGAAGGGAACATTCTTGTCTGGTGATTGTTGCACAATGTTCATTCATCCATTGTCATAGGTCTGCATGGTCTCACCAATATACCATGCTTTGGGGCATCCTTCCCTGCAGCCATGAATTTGACAACATTGGCCGAATCACATGAGTATCTGCCGTGTACGTGGGGCATGGTGTTCCCATGTGTGATGGTAATGTCCATGTCGATGATCTGGCATGTCTTGCAGAGGTTGCCATGGTAGGGTTGTGTGGTGTTGTGGTCAATACTGTCCTGAAGGCTGGGTAGTTTGCTGCGAACAATGGTCTGTTTAAGGTTTGGCAATTGTTTGAAGGTGAGAAGTGGAGGCAAAGGGATGATCGCGGCGAGATATTCATTGTCATCAATGACATGTTAAAGGTTGCGAAGAACATTTGCGTAGCATGTCCACTCCGGGGAAGTACTGGATGACTGGACCACTCTATCGGTCTTGAGTTCTGAGGCAGAGTCACTGGACCTGAAATGTTAATTCTGATTTTCTCTTCACAGATGCTGCCAGACCCATCCCCTATAACCCACCTAATCCACACAACCCTGCACACTATGGGCAATGTAACATGGCCAATCCACCTAACCTGCACATCTTTGGACTGTAGGAGGAAACTGGAGCACCCGGAGAAAACTCACAGACACAGGGAGAATGTGCAAACTCCCTGCTGAGCTTTTCCAGCAACTTCTGTTTTTGTCCCTGATTTACAGCATCCACAGTTCTTTTGGTTTTTATTTAGAACCCATGTAACTCCACCATACTGTTCTGTATTTGTAAAATCTCCCTTACCATCCAGTTTTGACACCATCACCTTGATAACTTGTTATGATGTCTCTACCTTAATTAGTTTGATGTGGAGGTGTCAGTGTTGGACTGGAGCAGACAAAGTCAGAAGTAAGAACCTGGTGTTGTGTGACTTCTGACTTAACTAGTTTGTACAGTTTTGGATTACTTGTTACTTTGGTTAGACCCTCAGCATATGACTCTTATACCTATCGTGTTATTCCGGCCGTTTGGTTTGTCTCCAGCAACACCTTATTTTTAATTTTATGTAATTATCTCTCTGCCTTAATTGATCGGATTATAGGTCATCCCTTCACACGTTATTCAGCTGTTAACACTTTACTCACACTGTCAACACTTTACTCACGCTGTCTGACACTCTTGATTACCTGCAGATTGTATTATTTGGCCTGTTGACGC